CAGGTTGCCTTTCAAGGAATTGGTCGGTCCATCTTATCTAGGTTATTAAATTTGTGCGCATAGAGTTGTTCATAATATTCCTTTGTTTTCCTTTTAGTGTTCATAGGATCTGTAGTGATGCCCTTTCTTTCATTTCTGATATTAGTAATTTGTATCTTTTCTCTTTTTTTCTTTGTTAGCTTGGCTAGAGACTTTATCAGTTTTATTGATCTTTTAAACTTAATAGTTTTTGGTTGTGTCGATTTTCTCTACTGATTTCCTGTCTTCAGATTTGTTGTTTTCTGCTTTAATTTTTAACTTCTTTTTCCTTGTTCTTTTTCAGTGTATTTGTTTTTTAAATGAGAGAGAAAGAGAGATAAGAATAGGGAGAAAGAGAGAGAGAAAGAGAAAGATTGGCACTTCCAGCAGGATTTCTGTCCACTTCCAGCTTCACTTAACCAGAATGTATCTGTTCTCTGAGTTTCAGGGAGATTTTAGGACACGAACTGGAAACTTTTCCCCTGCAGCTTCAGCGTAGCCATTTTATTTCTGCTGCACTACTGTGACTGGCCAATTTTTATTCTTTCTTTCTGTTTACTTTGGATTTAATTTGATGTTCACTGGTGTCATGATTACATGGTTTCTGAGGAGGAGTCAATATTATCTTTGCTCCTTTGTTGGTAAGGTATTTTTCCCTGTTTGCTTCTGTAAGATTTTTTTTTTCTTCGTCTTGAATTGTCTGCAGTTTGAATGTGATAGCCTTATAGCCTTATGTATGTTTTTTTCCTTGTTTTTGTCTTTAATTTTTTTTCCATTTATTCTGCTTGACATTCTCAGAACTTCCTGGGGGAAATTCTTGACATTACTTCAAATGTTTCTTCTGTTCCTTTCTCCCTTTTTTTCTCCTTCTGAATATGTTACACCTTTATCCTTGTTCATCAGATTTTGAATATTCTGATCCCTTTTGTTTGTTTGTCAATTTTGGAAGTTTCCATGAATATATCCTTAAACTTAGAGATTCTTATGTGTCCAGTCTGCTAACAAGCTTGTCAAAGCTTTCCCTCATTTTATGTATGTAGTTATTTTTTTATAATCTCCAGCATTTTTTGATGTTTTCTTAGAATTTCCATCTCTTGGGAACCAGCAGTTAGCGTAATGGCTATGTCGCTGGACTCCCACGTAGTCGACCGCGGTTCGTGTCTCAGACCCGGTGGCTTAAAACTCACGCCGGGCGCGTGTGCGTGAGTGCCCAAGATCCCGAGAGGAGAATGGAGGAGAAGGGATATTGTCTACTTTTTTTTTTTTTTTTGGAGAGGTTTTCGCTATAGGGCACGTGCTCTCGCCAGACAGACAGAGAGAGACATAGATACAGAAAGCGAGAAATCACCCCCCAGGGGGGATGGTCACGCTGCAATCCCTTCTCCTCCCTTCTCCTCTCGGGATCTTGGACACGCACGCACACACGCCTGGCGTGAGTTTTAAGCCACCGGGTCCGGGACGCGAACCGCGGTCGACTACGTGGGAGTCCAGTGGCATAGCCATTATGCTAACTGCTGGTTCCCATATTGTCTACTTTTTTCATCAGAGCTCTTAGTATATTAATCATAGTTTAAAAAATCTTGTTTCTGATACTTTTATCTTTGCCATATCAGTCTTAATTCTGATGCTCTGTCTTTGTCCATTAGTGTGTCTTGTAAGTTTTCATTGGAACCCTGATGTAATATACTGGAGAAAAGGAACATCAGGCCTTTACTTGCATTTAAATAGGCCATACATAGTATCTGGTAGTAAGATGTGAGAGGGGAAGACTATTACAGTCTTGTGATTAGGTTTCAGCTTTTTAGTGAGTCACTGCCTCTGGACTGTGATTTTCACTGTTTCTTAGTATTTCTCCCACTTAGGTAAGGCAGGGTGGCTAGAGCTTTCTGTAGTTGAGTATTTCCCTTCTTCTAGGAGCTTGGAGCTTTGAATTTCCCTTACTTAAGGTAAGGGAGTTAATCTCTGGTAAAACCCTATTTGGTTAGGCACTAATAAAATAGTGTCTCTCAAGGGCAAGTCTTTTTAAGAAGAGCAGAGTATTCTGGTATATTTCAAAATGATTCTTTTTCTCCTCCTCCTAGGACACTGTCCTCATATTTGTCTCACTGTGAACCTAGTATAACTTCTAGAGGTAAAACTCAGAAGTAGGGCTTCCCTTATGATTTATTCCCCCTGGAGTTTTTACCTCACACACTTGGTCCTCATTGAATCTCCAGTAATTTGTCAGTTACAGCTTAGTTTTTCCAGCCTGGTGCTGGGTCCCTTGGAGACTTCTGCTTGTGGTGAATTGTGATTCAGTATTTGCCCGCCTGTCTCTGATTTTCAAGTCAGCTGTTTTCCCTATGAGCTCATTTCCCCGAAGCATCTACAAGAGTTAATTTTTCAGTTTGTTCAGCTTTTTACTTGGAGCTGTGACTTTGAGTCTCCTTACATGCTGGCTTAGAAATCAAGAGTACTTCCTTAATTTTTTTTGTGCCCTTGCTTCTACTATGCCTGGTGTCTTACTAGTCTAGGAAAGCTTTGCTTGACCTCTAGAAAACAAATTCACTCTTTTACTGCAGTTGGGAAGAGGTAGTTGCTAGTGCCCTTGCGTAAGGTTGGCAAAGTGTTGGTTTATGTACATTTCAAACAGCTTTTATTTATTCTTCCTACCTCTTAGTCCTCTTTCTTCTTCAGTACAATTCCAGACATTCTTTCTGCTACTAGGTCTTGAGCATTCTGAGTATTCAGTGGTATAAAACAGAGTGGTCCTTTATCATTATTTATTTATTTATTTATTTATTGAGGGTTTTTTTTGCATTCAAAGGAGAGAGAAAAATGAGCAGTCAGTCCCAGGGAGGATTCCTTTATCATTATTTATTTATTTATTTATTTTTTGAGTTTTTTTTTTTGCATTCAAAGGAGAGAGAGAGAAAAGTGAGCAGTCAGTCCTAGGGAGGATGGCCGTGTTGTAATCCTATTTTCCTCATTCTCTTCCTGGGACTTTGGGCATGTAGGCACATATATCTGGTGTATGTGCCTTCAAGCTGGCAGGTCCGTGAGTCGAACCAGTTTGCTATGTGGAAGTCCAGTGCCTCAACCACCATACCTGCTGGCTCCAAACTGGTTCTTAAGATTTTTCCTTATTGCTATTATATGATTGTTCTTCCTTGGGTCTTCTTAAATAGGTTACTATATATCTATGTTATTAAATAGTTACTGAGATAGTGTTACTAATAATGCCTCTATGTCTACTTTGTTCTTTAGTGTTTGTCTTTAAAAGCTCTTTTTATTAAGGAGTCCTGTAATTAAGAGGGAGCTAAATTTGATTTGGCTGTGCTCCATTTGACATACCTCCTCTCTTTTTTTTTTTTTTTTTTTTTTGTGAAATTGTTTGCGTTGGGATATTTAAACCC